TATCACATGCCTTTCCGTTAATTTCCGTGACGTTTATCACATGCAACCTAGTGCATTTCCGGAAATTTGTTCGAAAACGACAACACAGTGCGGAAAACCGCAAGTGATTTAAGACTTTTCACAAAATGGTTGAGGAAAAATTTCAAACTAAGAGCATGATAATTGTTGTGACAAGATAAATAAAATGCTTGTAATATCAATAAAAACAATTAAAGTTAAGAAATTTGTATCTGGTTGTCTGTAAATTATTATCTAAAAATTCATAGAAGGACAAAATTTTAATTAATAGTTCTTGTCTGTATTTCTTCTGCTGAAGTATATGATAAAAAGATAATTACATGTCATTTTTCATATCAGACCCTTTATCGGCCCTCGTTTATGATATCAGCCCTCGAGCCTGCGGCTCTTGGGCTGATATCATGACCTAGGGCCGATAAAGTGTCTGATATGAAAAACGCCATGTAATAATCTATACATATATAATAGCGTCATTACAGTAGACTTTATATATAATAATAATAAACAACCACATTACACATATCTGTCACAAGTTTAGGGCAATGAAACAAGATAACCAATATTGATAAGTATAATTGTGTGTACGATCTATGATATACACGAACAACATTGATAAGTATAATATTGTGCACGGTCTATAATATACGAACAACATTGAGGTAAAGAAAATTACTAATGTTAATAACCCATTATCTACATAATCAATTTATTAATTTATAACAGTTTAAATACTGTGTGAATAATTATATAAGGAATTTTTAATAGTTGATTGGTATATGGTATGTGTTGTATAACTTTGAACTTTGTATTTAATCATTTGTATATTATTGCTGTTCAGAAGTTAAAAAGCGTTTTGCATGGGAGTTTAACCCCAACATTTACTATAAGGTGTAGTTAGAACCTAACTTTAGACTTATAACGTCATAATTATACAGTTCAATTGACATTTTTTGTACGACTGCATTTTTACATAAGAAGTTCTAAAGTTCATGAGAAAAAATTTCTATTTGTTCAAGTTGAAACGGAAAATTTCACTTCCTTAATTACACTTAATTATACAAGTTAGCAAAGGTCGTCTAGTACCAAAAATCTGTTATACGTTACATTGTAATGGAAACAACATTATATATACAATATTTGTACAGTGTAGGAAAATATAAAATTTATTTGACGAGCTTTAGAAACCGAGAGAAAAGCGAGGCAAGCCAAGCTTTTTCTCTTGTTTCGTAGCGTTTACAAATAAAATTTTATATCTTCCTACACTGTCACGGAGGGGGCATTAAGTCTTACCCTTGTCCGTCTGTACGTCCGTACGTCCCAAAGTCGGTTTCCGTTCTCTGACTTTAGTTTGCCTCAATCAAATGTTATGAAACTTATACACAATGCTTATTACCACAAAATACAGATCAAGTTTGAATTTGGGTGGCGTCACTTTTATCTTTCTAGAGTTATTCCCCTTTACAAATGGAAAAATTGCTGAATTTTTCGTTTCCGTTCTCTTACTTAAGTTTGCCTCAACCAAATGTTATGAAACTTATACACAATGCTTATTACCACAACTCAGATCAAGTTTGAATTTGGGTGGCGTCTCTTTTACCGTTCTTGAGTTATGTCCCTTTATAACTTTATATGATATGCAAGCGTGGGGCATCATCTGTGTCCCATGGACACATTCCCCATTTATTTTTATCCTACAATTTAGCATTGAACTTAAACGTTTTTTTCCCATCCAAATCGTTAAATTTGCCTTTAAAATGAATCGATATTGACTAAAACGCGGACCGGGATGAAGACCCCAAATTGATCTGTTATGTAAACAGTAATTCAAACACAACCGTTCGCTCGCAACAAAAGCAAGATACCAGGAGACTTCAAACGTACACTATACGCGCTTCATGTTATCTACCAAGCAGAACGGTCGATAGCAGGATAGATATAAATATAAGTCATTTCATTACATTCATTACATGTACTGTAAATTTGATTGTCCGACAACAAACGCGAGGCACTTGTTTCCGTATAAAATACAACAGCTATGACTGCACGAGCTATCAGTTGCAATGTTAAAACAATGCATAGATAAACAATCGGAAAGCTTGATATAACTCTTAATTTCACGGTTGTAGAATACAAATGTAATAAGAAAAATGGAAAGAATTCTTTTTATAATTTTATAGGGTTGTAAAAGCGTTGATCCGTGCGCACATTTTTAGAATAAAGCGCTTTTACACCCCAATAAAATTATAAAAAGAAGCATTCCATTCTGAAATAAATGTAAGTAGACTGTCAAAACAATTGCAATTTGTTTTGAAATATGTATGTGATTTAATACAAAAGGCTATATTTCGGAAGTACAATCTTCTTGGATTTCATCATTCAAACAGTACAATATACCTTTTATATAAATAATAGGTGGAGCCAGGTAAAGGTCTGCACTGACACTAAATTTCAAAAGAAAAGATAAATCAGAGTTATTATAAAAATAGGGATTGTGACTAGGTTGACAGAATATATGACCGTATTAATTCTTTGTTAATGCAATTTAATTTGTAATATAATAACAAACTGTGAAGATCAGCTCTACTTCTTACATGACTAATATTATAATATATATAATCAAAATATTTGAAATGAACTTTATAGAGGAGGCATGTTGTCAAAAATAGTATTGTAATAAATATTAACATTTTTCTTTTTTTCAGTGCGACATGTTTGTATTGTTATCTGTCTATCGTTTTGTTATTTATATGTTTTTCTTTAGTAGCAATCCTATTGTTTGGGTTTTAAACTAATAAAATTCTTATTCTTATTCTTATATGATGGTATTTCAATCTTTACTGTTAAAATGTGACCCAAAACAAATCAATATGAAATAAACCCTTTACAGAATTGTGATATAGTTCGTAGGTAGTGCACGCAATTAAAAGTACAAACACTTGAAATGTACATTTAGTTATCTGTAAATTGATTTTTTACATTCACCTCTATCAAGCGTTTATGCACCATCCTTAATCAAATCCTTAATCATAAACCTCAACTTCCGAAATTAATGCGTATATTCCAGTGGTTTTTTCATCGAATGACGTGCTAATTATCAGATCTTCTCTAGGTATCATTTATCCCCAATTTGAAGCCAAAATGTCCGTAAGAGAGCGAATGACAGTAAAGAAAAAAATAATTTACTTTGTTTCAGAAACACCTTTTTATCCGTTAAGATTAGTCAAGCACAAACATACCTATTCATAGTATACATATTCTATCTATCTAGTATTCATTTTCTTAGTAAAATGATACATGCTAGGAATGTGTGTCACATATTTAACATAGTAAATGGCGATTAAGTATGTATGTACTTTTAAAAAAAGATTTAATATTGCTCAAATGTTTAGTATCGTTAATCAGGTATTTTGCTTTCAATTTCAGTTTAAAAGGGTAAAGAATGAAAGACGCCATTACATGAAATGGTACTTAGCTTTGTTTGTAAAATACTTGTCATAGTCAACGTTACTTTGGCAAATGGAATAATTCATTGGCTGGTGTCAAACACAAATTACTTTTATAAAGATAATTTGTATAAAGAGGTGTAATCGTTTGAAAAAATTATATTTTTGGTTGAAAAAGATTTTTCCCGATTTTAAAACTTTGTGAGAAATATATATAATATATGAACTTCAAAACATTTAACTAAAGTTGAGATGTAGCAAGTTTTTAAAAATATAGAGAAATAGAAGTGTTGCTTGAAAAATGTGTGTTAAAGTATAACCTAATTTATACTGCACTCGTTCTATTTGAGCAGTCAAAATGCGTTGACCGTATATTTCTATGTCATATACAGTCACTGACCTGATATCACTTTTCCTCATGAATATTTAAATAGAAATTGCCGAAATTATAATTAATTATTCATACGACCTATTCAACCTGTTCTTGTTTCCAATGTATACAACGACTCAAACTTATTTCTTTTGCAATTTTTAGAAAAAAAACATATTTCACTTGTTAATATTTTTGGTTTGCAAACTATAAATCATTATAGGCCTGTTTTTTTATACTCAAACTAGTTACTGGTTAAAAACAACCTGAAACATGTTTAAGCTTAAACCATAAACATGTTAAAAGGGAGTAAAAAAAACGCAACGGTTGAAGAAAAATGTTTAAGCTATAAACTATTTTGAAAAAATCTAAAACATGCTTTTGATCCCGGTTGAAATGTTCCTTAACCATTTAACCGCATGGTTAAGACCGACCCGTCAAAAAACTGTTAACCATAAAAATGTGTTAAAACCAGGTTAATGGTTCAGAATAAAAAAACAGGCCTATAATATGTTTTATGCTTATTGTCGATATTTTAGTTCATTCTCAAACAAATTCGTTCACCATCGATTGCGGGTTTCAACAGGTTATGTACATTTCATTGTGTTGTATGTTTCTCCGCCTGCATGATACGAGGCCTTTTTATAAAAGGGGGAAGTTTCCCAATATTTAAATCAAATAATAACATTAACACATTAAACAACAATTGGAAATATTTTTTTTAGATTGCAGTATAAAGACAATAATACTGCATTGACTTGACATATCAACGATATAAGGATTCGGCCCGAAACGGGGAAAAAGCTCGGCAGAGCCTCGCATTTCCCCGTTTCTAAGCCTCATCCTTATATCGTTGATATGTCAAGTCAATGCACTATTATTGTCTATATATCTTTGGAGAAAAATGATATATCTGTCTCAATATACCGTTACTTTGATTGAATAAATGATTGATTGATTTATGATTGATTGATTGATTGATAAATTGGTATAACTTCAAGTTTAAAATCTGACATCAACATACGAAGAAATAAATGTAATTGATACATAAAAAAGATAATAACAAATATTACAAATATTTGACAACACAACATTATGGGTTTTAAAGTCAAATATAGGATTGACTTTCGATTGTAAATTTAGAATTCTCATGAGACACAATTTTGTTTTAGCGATGCAAAGATATGGTCCAAGATTTACAACTCAGTCAAACAGAAGCGGATATTTTACACACTGCCCCTTGTCCACCATCATGGGATATGTCACTTTTGTTTTCCTTCACCATCTGTTTAGATTGTGAACAGAGAATACAATTACTATATAAATGTTTGAAAGAATGGAACATAACAATTGACTGCGAAAATATTCTAAACTGTGACGACTGCATTTCTTGTGATATTTGTGGTACCGGCTCAGACACGGACAACAAGGAAATCGCTTTGAACGAAACTACATGGGAAAATGACAAAATCGAAAAGAATGAAAACTTTACAGTAGAAGTTGAAGTGGAAGTAGTTACTGTATCTGTAATTCTTTCAGTGACTGCTGTTACAGTATGTACTGTGTGAGTTTTATATCTACTACTAGTAACTGATATTCTAGTCTAGGAAAATATGACCTATTCATAATTCTAACGCGAACTTTCACCGGCTATTAGTAACGTTTTCATGTCACCTCTGCTAATTTCTTCTTATATATCATAAGATGTAGTACAAAATGCATATTTGATGACTTCGGCCAATTTCAATTATTTTGGGTTGAGCCCTCATAAACGAATTTTATCCATCATATACTTTATGTCCCAAACCAAGAGCTATTTCGCTCTTTTGAATTTTTGTATATCGTACTTTAATAAGTTGCGTAGATATTTATTTTCACGACTTTTTTATCTGTTGAATACCGACCGTGCAAGGGCTGTATAGCCAGTCAAGGTCGTTAAAAACTTCCATTTGTTGTCTGTTGAATAGTTATCTAATTCGCATGCATGCTGCAACTTCGTATCTTTCTGAGAAAAGAGTTTGGCACGTTTTAAATTCAAATCCACGACGACTGTTTATGCCAGTAAACAAACTTTGTTTTTATTCTTAGTTGACAGATAATATAGCTCATCTTACATTTTTATACTAGCAGTGAAAATGGATTGAAGAGTCAGTTTACGTTTAATATAAAACAGTGTCATATTTAAAGGTTCAAGTTATCAAGTCTTATAATATTATGTAAATTTTGTCTTTCAGAACTGTATTCATAGTGTGCAAAAAGAGACGCAAACAAAGTAGATTGGTACGTATAAATGTAATATGTGTATGGTGTCGTTTCTGTTTTAACTTACTTTATATAGATTAACCCAAAAAATGGTAAGAGACAATGCAGATTATATTCTGTTGAGATGCCTATTGAACAAATATAAAACCGAGATATAGTTACATCTTTGAACTCCATTTAGAAATATTTCAGTTTCGACGAATATAAATTCCCTTCAACCCCCCATTCCTCCGTTTTGCTTTCTTAATAGCAATTCCACAAATCACAAGACGCTGTCTCTTTGCTTCCATCTTCTGTTGTCTGTATTTCGTTTAACGTGGGTTTTTTGTTCCGAAATTTTTATTTAGCCCCTATATGTTTAAAAGTGTATTAACTTATTGATTTGTTCACATTAAAAATAATGAAAATATAAACGTCATTTTATTTCTCTTCTTTCAGAAATTAAGACAACCGAATAAAAGAGACAGAATTCTGAATAAAGAAACTAAAATAACATTGGTTAAAGACGAAAAAGAAGACGAAATTGAGAAAATGAATGTATCAGATAAGTTACTTAATGAGAATATACAAACTTGTTCTAAAGAAAAAATCACATGAATGATCTATTCCTGCTTACTTCGAATACAGAAGAGAATCAAAATGAAATGCTAACATAAGGAAGAAATGAGAAGTCGAACTTAAACCAACCAATGCATCCAAAGCCTTTTCAGATTATCAGAACGTGAAAAGAGTAAATATGGTTAAGGATGAACCTATATGGATTAAAGCTTTATGTAAAATTGAGATTCTTTAGTGCTTACAAACAGTAAAGAATCCTGTTGCGGAAGACAAATGGCACGGAACAAAACTATAGCCATTAAGCTACTAGTATTGTTAAGATACAGAGAAAAGAAAATCGGACCTAAAAAAGGAACATGTGGATCGATTAGCAAGTAACAAAAAAAAAGGGCAAACGGTTTTGTTATCTACCAACAACACGGAAACTACATGTACAAATAATCAGGAAAACCGGAGAGTGAATGGCCCATATTTACACAGTAAAAACTTATTACACGAAAAGAAGAAAATATAACACGAATATACCCTACAATTACAAGTTTATGTAGACGAGCAAGTAATGTACAATAGACAATTTTAATTTAGATTATAATTGTGAATTTGATTTTGTGAATAAATTTGTGTAGGAAAGGAAATCCCGAGACGATGCATATGTAAATCTCATGTTTTCAATTTAAATTGTTACTTGGACTTGCATGTATACTCGTCGTTTAAAATCTAAGGTGCTACAGAGGGTGTAAGCTAGTCAACATGTATGAGGTCATCTCTGAATACAAGACATAGGTTATTATATTTCCATGGGATTTATTGTAACACAAATCTCAGGTGCTACAGAGGGTATAGGATAGTCAACATATACGAAGTGATCTCTGAATACAAGACATAGATTACTACATTTCAAAGAGATTTTTTGTAACAGAAATCGCAGGTGCTACGGATGGTATTATTGGTTACATAGTGTGCTAGTGACCTAATACGATATATATGGGGTCAGTAAATTGCCGGGATATGGGGTGAGAGCGAAGCTCGAATCCCCATATGGAATTTACTGACCCCATATATATCGTATTAGGTCACTAGCACACTATGTAACGAATTTATCTTACCGACTATCTTAACATGTGGTATTTAGACTAGTGGCCTATCAAAGTGATCAAGTCTTCAATACCGTACGTTAGTATTTAGAACCTTCTTCCATTGGTCTATACAAAAACAAATGCTAACAGTAACAACTTGTCAGCTTTAAATGTGTTTTATGAATGTATTTCAATCGTTCATCATCAATTTCTTCGTCTGTTGAAACCTTTAAGATTTTTCCTCAACACCGTTGTTTTTATAAAGGGACGTGACACCACTACTATTGAAATAAGCCCCGCCTTCTAACCCAATTGGAACCCTACCTACCCAATATGGAATATACACGCGGATGCTTTTAATCAATCATATTCCTAGAAATGTATAGGAGGTAAGATAAAAGATAGTCCACATGAGCCAACCAATTGGGTTACTTGCTGATAAAATCTTCAGATGGACGATTAAATTAACTAAACGTTTGGCAAAACCAATACGAGACTAGATCAATTATGATCATATGAAATGGTAAATAATTTCAATATGAATCTTTATAAAATGGATTTACACCGTATAGAAATAAGGAACACAACAATTGTAGCCAGAACTTTTGACAAGGGGGTCTTATAGCAATAGCAATAAAGCGAAGGTATACGTTTGTTCTCCGATTAATTTAAACATTAATTGCAGAAGTTTCACGTTCATCATCAATACTAATATGTTGATTGTCATTTGAAAATCCTTTCTGAAATAACATCAACCATAGATATTTCATATATTCCTTTGAAATGGCGTTTCCCTGACTTGACATGATTAGATCTCGATAGTTGTTTGTAACAAGAGGCAGTCACTGCTTACTCGCCTTGATATTTTACTGCTAATTGGTTTTGCCAGGTACACCTATCTGCAGATAGACTCGATTACCTACACCACTGTTAGCTGAATAATGATATTATTATACTATTATTGATGTCATGTGAGGAAAAGTGCACACGCTGAAATGTCTCGCCTACTATACTGACCATTGATTTTATGTTGATAGTCATAAATATAAAGTTTTACTACAATTATCACATTAACATATATGATCCAAGAAAATGATATCAAGGTCAGATAAGCCAAGCCGAAAATACATGTACACCTTTGATACAATCATTCCATACACCGAATATAGATGACCTATTGCATATAGTATAAAAGAAACAGACCAAACATGGAAATTATATATTGACCAATGAACCATGAAAATGAAGTCAAGGTCAGATGAACCCTGCTAGACAGACATGTACACCTTAAAATCATTCCATGCCTTAAATTAAATATAGTGACCTATGACTTGAAGTATCTAAGAAACAAATAGATATAAGAAGGTGTGGTATGAGTGTCAATGAGACAACTCTCCATCCAAGTCACAATTTGTAAAAGTAAACCATTATAGGTCAAAGTACGGCCTTCAACACGGAGCTTTGGCTCACACCGAACAGCAAGCTATAAAGGGCTCCAAAAATGACTAGTGTAAAACCATTTAAACAGGAAAACCAACGGTCTAATCTATATAAAAAACGAGAAACGAGAAACACTTATGAACCACATCAAGAAACGACAACCACTGAACATCAGGTTCCTGACTTAGGACAGGTGCAAACAAATGCAGCGGGTTTAAACGTTTTAATAGGCGCTAGCCGTCATCTTACCTGAAACAATAGTGTAACATCACAACGTAGAAAGACACACTATAAAATATCAATTGAAATGGCTTAACTCAATCAAAAGACATATTAACAAAAACAAGTGAACATACACTGAACGCATAAATTTGATCTATGACACAATGTAAATACAAAATTAATAAATCAAGGGTGTTAGATGTAAAACAATATCAGAAAGACAACCATAACCTTGGACAAAATGCCGCCAAATAAAATTACGTACACAGTAAATAAAAATAATTTTGTTGTAAGGTATACGTGGAGTACGGAAATAGTTTTTACAAAATAAATAATTTTGTTGTTCCTAGTACGAGAACAAAAGTTATCAAAGGTGGTATATGTTAAAAATAGTGAGACTAGATATAACACTGAATAAGTAAACATTAAATAACAAAAATACATTACAATTTGTATCAACAGGTTAAAGTAACACGAAAGTGCGATTTGAGAGTACTCGCAGTTACTGAAAGCTAATTAAAAGCCAAAAACAATTAATAATAAAATAGCATACATCAGAGACTAAAATCAACTATAACACATTCCAGTGATTTAGTGATTTAACGTCATGGACAGTCAAAGAAGACATGACTTGTGCAATGCCAAAATAAAATTATCGACAGGCAGTAGGATAGTTAGAAGTTAACCTGTTAATAAATATGTATAATGTAATATATAGATATAGTAATCTCTATATAGAAAATGAACGTGGATGTGTATTTATACATCCCAAAAAACTGTTGGAAAGAATACAAATTTAGTTATGTTTTAATTTGCTGATGACAAAATCGATATTTGTGCCAATGTAAACTATGTTTAAAGATCTTATTACAACATTGGTAAGATAACCTTTACTAATAAGTTTGTGTAAAGGTTCGTTGTGTTTACACGGATCACATAGTGATTTCCGCGCTTTTAGTACAATGTTACCGTAAAATTTAGGATGTGAAATACCGTTTTTAATAAGTTTTCTACAGGTACAGCCAAATTTACTAATCAAATCTTTGTATCTATGAAAGAATTTAGTAAAAGTTTTAAGCAATTTATGGTAACGAAATCCCTGACTTAATAATTTACCAGTGATGCATTGATTACGTTCGTTAAAATCTATGACATCACTACACACACGGGCACAACGAACGAGTGGGGATGTATAAACACCGCATGATGGAGCCAAAGGAACATCGCCGTCTAAAAAGGGAAAATTAACAATAAGGAATGAAAAATCGTCTCTTTTGTCGTAAATTTTAGTATGGAGTTTCCCTTTAAAAATTGAAATGTCTAAATCTAGAAAAGGACAACTACTGCTGTTTATGTTAGATTTATTTAAAGTAAGTTCCTTTGGGTAAATTTCGGTAGTATATTTAGAGAACTCTGGATTATTTAACGAAAACATATCATCAAGATAACGGCAGGTATTGTTGAATGTATCAACCAAATGTAACAATGACGTGTCTTTACTTAGTTTGGTTATAAACTGAGATTCATAGCAATACAGGAATAAATCTGCTATTAAAGGGGCGCAGTTAGTGCCCATAGGAATACCTACTATCTGTCGATACGTACATATATGTTGTCCAGGAGAAAATTTAAAGCTTCAATCATATCTTCACATTTTCAGTAAGTGTATCTAGCATACTTTCCTTTTTCGTTACAGAAAAAGGCTTTAAACGAATTACAGCAAATAAATTTGCAATGAGATTTTTCAAAAGACCATTTAATTAAATATGAAAACTTTTTCTTGATAAGATTGTATGGAAGTGTAGTGTAGAGAGTAGAAAAATTATAACTGTCAACAGAATTAAAAGGACCATCAAAAGCACGTTTTTTTTTTTTTTATCTTAAACCTCTAATGAATTTTTAACATTCCAAAAATAATTAATACCATTATTTTCATAAGCTTTATTACAAAAGTTAATAACAAGTTCTTTGATAGTAGTAAGGGAGGTAGTTAGAAGCACTGACAGATTAGTAGTAGAACACTTACTAGATGTGGAGATGAAACGGAATGTAAATGGTTGTTTGTGTAATTTAGGTAACCAGTACATAGTCGGGACTTTCAAATGTTCGGAAGAGGATTTAAGCTGGGTAGTGGTAGTGATATGATTGTTTACAATTTGACTCTCTGTGGAGCGTACGGACCTGAATGTAGACAATTGATAATTTCGTTTTGGATAACTTCCGTGTAGTATATGCGTCACACCACCACTACATTATTGGCTGCTCTGTGTACCGGTACGAACACAAACCGCTTTGCGAGTACTTGGAGTTTATTTTTTATTCTAGAAATGGGTATATCATGGACCCTATTATTAATTTCAGAATTGTTTTCAAAATGAGATATACGAATATCAACAGTATTCATAATTTTATTCAAATAAATGTCTAGACATTTTTTATCAGATTTTTCACGTTTACACCAATTTTTACAGTAGGTAGACAAAGCGTCTTTAATGACCTGACGACACTGTTTCCAATCTATTATAGATGGAGGACGATATTTAGGTCCTTTCTTAAGAAACGTTTTGACCTCACGGTCTTCGACAATGTTGAGGTCTCCTGTAATGCCATGACCATAGGGAACATATCTAAAACTAGATGTTTCACAGTCTCAAGTGGAAGGAGCATTATTTTCTATATTGACGTCTGTTGTAACTGCCGTATAATTAAAAATCAAACTTCTGCTGTTTTTGTTATAAGAATACGAAATAATAGGTGGTTCTGTATTATCAAAATATGGAGGTATTTGACTATGGATGGTAGAGTTATTGAATATACTAGATAATTTAATAAAATCAATACCTATATTTATATATTTTAATTTAAGAAAATGCCGTTTATGAATTTCAGGTTTATCGATACTAAGAAACAGTGT